CCCCCCCCCCCCCCCCCCCCCCCTTTTTTTTTTTTTGTCCCCTTCTGTATTTCGCTGAATACAAATATAAATATATAAATAAATATAAATATTTGCAATTTCTCCTGTAGAGAGGGAGGTGTATACGTGTGGGACTCTTATAGGAAGGAGGGGGACTTGCAATCCCATGGAGCTTGAGGTCGCTAGCGATGGGGATGTGTACGCCCGTTCGCTGCAGGAGGCGAGGTGGGATATCTTGCAAGGGTTAAATGTGGCAAAAGACTGGGGGCGACTTGAAGAAAGACACCCGTTCTTCCGTGATGTGATATTGGACGCGAAGCGACAGGCGAAACTGTTGGCATCGGTACTCACAGCGACGGAGTTTTTTCTTCAGCGACTGCTGTGGTGCTGCGAAAATGATACGGCACCCAGCTTTGTTGATGCAAATAGGGTGAAACAATGGCGCGCTTCCCTTGCGGTGTTTATATCACTTTATGAATCTTCTCCTGTCCCGACCCGGGCGCGTTGGTTGGCCGAGTCGCGGGAACGCGCAGATGGGACATGTGCCGTGAGTGTGGATGGCGATGAAAAATATAATAGCTACGACCACAATAAGGTTCGAGGTATGGATGATGACGATGTTGATGATGATGATGGTTCCTTTGTGGAGAATCGTTTAAAAGACATGGTTTTGCAGTGTCTTGCAATTGGGAGAATGTGGTGCCGTCAGCTCGACGAGGAGGACGAGATGGCAGTGAAGGTACGTCACGCCTTGTCTGTTATGGATGCCTTTGCAGCCCCAAAGACGTTTGACTGGTGAGTATTTGTCCTTGTGTGTGTGTGTGTGTGTGCCGTTACTGCCCGGCAGTGTGTTAAGTGAACGAGAAAGGGGGAATTACGCCTAAAACTTCTGAGCGGTTTCCCCTCCTATTTACTTTTTACGCATGTATATATTTCTATTGTTCCGTTTAATACTTCAATGCTGGCTTTGGTGTGGCTTCGTTTTCTATTTGCCTTATTTCCCTTCATGCACACCTTTCTTTTTGGCAAACATGAAATACGACACATTAAAAGTCTAATAATCGAACAAAAACGAAGCCAAATAAAAAGAAAGTAAAAAGATGGTGACGACTAAGTTTATTGACACCCCGGAAACAGCCGTTGACACGGCGGTTAGGGCGCTTTGCATGACGCGGCCACACTTGCAGTTCATAGAAAATACACATGTTGTGGTGAACCGCAAGATTGACCCAACAAAGGTCCTTATAGTCTGTGGAGGTGGTGCTGGACATGAACCAGGTCACGTGGGATTTGTTGATTGTGGCTGGCTTAGTGCCGCGGTATCTGGAGACGTCTTTGCATCGCCCCCCACCATCCATGTAACGGCTGCCATTGATTATTTGCATGCCAAACAAGGCCCTAATGGCCCCGGGGTTCTTGTTGTTGTTAAGAATTATATGGGCGACATTTTGAACTTTCAGTTTGCCGTTCATGAGGCCCAAACGAGGGGTATAAATGTGGAGATGGTGATGGTAGCGGATGATGCGTGTTTTGGCTTGGACGATATCAATTGTCGTCGAGGTATTGCGGGAACAATTCTCCTGTACAAAATTCTTGGGGCAGCTGCACTGAAGGGTGAAAATATGGCGGCATTGAAGCAACTTGCCGGTCGTATATCAAGTGGAATGCGCTCCATTGGAGCGTCCCTTTCCTCCTGCTCGCCCCCTGGGTCAAAACCATTGTCGACTGTGCCGGATGGCCTTGTCGAACTGGGGCTTGGCATTCATGGTGAAAAGGGATTGTACCGGATACCATTTGAAGGAGCAAAGACGCTTGTTTCCCATTTGCTTGGGATCTTGCTTTGCGGTGGGAAAAAGCGCGGTGAGCATAGGGAAGGAGAGACTGAGAAGGAATGGAAGGGAGCGAAAGTGGCACTTTTGGTCAATAATTTGGGCTCAACAACGGATATTGAAATGGGGATTCTCACACATCATGCTTTAAAGCAGTTGCAGCAGGCTGGTATGGATGTGGTTGGTGTATCGGTGGGTCGCTACATGACAGCATTGGAGATGCATGGATTTTCATTTACATTGTTGCGTTTTTCTAATCAAGATGATATTGCCTTCTTGTTTGATCAGCAACAGACACCACTTTTACCGTTTACCGTTCCGCAGTTCTCTATTTCCCCTGCTGTAGGGCCTCGCTCTGCGCTACAGTTGGCGCAGGAAGAAAAATGTGGTTTGCAGTGTAATGGTCTATTGGGTCGAGTTCTTGAAAACGTTTTTGAAACCTTAAAGAATAGCAAAGATTACTTGAATGAACTTGATGCTGCGGTCGGTGATGGAGACATTGGAAGTGGGACGACGCGTGCCTCCATAAAGGCATTGGAAATTCTCCCGCATCTTCCCTTGGAAACAAACGTGAGTAAAGCATTGGTTTTGCTTGCGAAGGCCGTGGCGGATGTGTTCGGTGGCTCTTCAGGGCCATTATATGGGGCCTTTCTGCTAGGTGCTGCTTCTGCAGTCGCTGAGACGATGTGTCGAGACGGTGCGAGCAGCGTGGATGCTATCCGGGCGGCGTTGAGGGCTGGTAGTGCTAACATTCAGCGCGTTGCGCGATCCAAGAAGGGGGATCGCACGATGGTGGACGTTTTGGAGGCACTGAACGAAAACCCCCAAGTGAATGACGCCAACTCTATTCAAGAATTAGCTCGCGTCTGTGTTCCAGAGGCGAAGAAAGCCGCCGCAGCCACGGCATTGTTGCCTGCAAAACACGGCCGGAGCCGCTACCTGCAAGGGAAGGAGTTGGGCCAACCGGACCCTGGCGCCGAGCTTGTTGTCCTTTGGATTGAGGCCGCAGCAAACACAGTTCTGTCAGGGGGTAAATTGTAAGAAATAGGTGTGTGTGTGTGTGTGTCTGAGGGGAGGAAGAATAAATCTGGGAACAAACGAGGACGATTAGAATCAAAACAAAATTTTGCTTTTTAGTGTGTGTGGTGTTTTGGGCATTGTTTGTTTCTTTTTTTTTTTTTTTCTTTTTTACGATGTGTTTGTGTGTTCCTTGATTTTCTCCTTTGTTTGCATCGTGTCCAGTGCGGCGTGCCAATGTACGCAGGTCTCTTTAAGAAGCGGCCACGTGAAGCCGATGCAGCTTCCCACGGGAACGCACCGGAAGACAGTGGGGATGCATCGAGCAGGGCCGCCGGCATCTCGTCACCCACGCTGTCTCCCCGCACTGTGTACCACTATCCCTCGATGCTGCCATTCCCAACGGTGATAGATTCTGAATTTCCCGCTGAGTCGTATCGTTCCCGCAGCAAAGACGTAAAGGCGGCTATTCATTGGGGCCAGCGGAAACTCTTACTTTCTGAGATTCAGCTCCTCTCCATATATGCTCGGCCGAATGTGTCTTATCACATTGTCTACGCAGGGTCAGCCCCCGGAACTCATCTTGCATTTCTTGACGAACTGTTTCAGAGTCGACACACCTGGGAACTTGTGGATCCGGGAAGATTTGATCGGCCCGTGCTGGAGTCACGACCGAATTTTTCTCTTCGTAACGAATTTTTTACAAACGTGACAGCCTATGGCATTAATGCGCGCCGTCTTTTGGAGGTGCTTCCTGGGCTGGGAACCGTTTACCGTTGTGTTGCCCTGGACGGTGCGTGGTCAACAAAGAAGGAAATCCACCAAAAGCTTCAGAGCATCGTTGGAACGATTGATGTGGCCCGTGGCACGGAAGATATCCCATCCATGTACGAACCGCGGTTGGATCTTCCCTTTGGCTTTGAGCTTCTTTGCTACGTTGGTATGGAGCGAAGCAAGCC